CTTTCCCTGCTTCGACACTCCTGCTGTGAAGTGCGCCTACTCCGCTCTTATTGAGGTGAGGCAGGCTGAGGGCAAACGTACCTGCCCTTGGGGCTGAAAAGTTCATTTCTATCAGGTCATGTTTCCGGTGGTAGATTATTACCTCCATTGGGGGGTACCTCTGAGAAACTCCTCCACCTGCAGAAATTGTATCTGTGCTAAATCCCATCAGTTCGGCACAAGTTTAGTTTGTTGAAGCCTCTGTGCTTCCCAAGGTGGACCCCAGGCCGCTGTCGTCGCCATGCGGGTGGCTGGCCGTGCCGCCCTTCTAGCTGATCAAGAGCAGACTCTGTCCGGGCGAAATCTCCTGAGCCTTCTCTCTTGTCAGGTCCCAGGCGGCTTCACAGCTGTGATGAGTGCTGACACCTGGGAGAAGAGAGGCCCAAATAAGTTCCTCTTCCAGATGTCTCAGCCCATCCCGTCCTATCTCATAGCTTTGGCCATTGGAGATCTGGTTTCGGCTGAAGTTGGACCCAGGTAGGAGACCGAGACCCCGCAGGCAAGGGTGAACCGACCTCTGAGCACGGAGGCCTCTGACCAGCGAGCGGACCTCCTGGGGTGGCTCTTGGGGTCACGTCGGAGCCTCCCGAGCCCGGGACCTTTGTGCGGGACAGGGCGCGGCCTGAATGGCCAGAGGATGTGCCCTTTCCTCCCCCTCCCTCCTGTCTTCCTCCCGTGTCTGCGCTGAGACCATCAGTCCTGCAGTGGCTGCGGTCCTGGGCCACCTTCAGAGGGAGGTGGGAGCTCCAGCAGCAGTTTTAGAAGATGATCTTTATTAGCATCTTTAAGGTCTAAATTACCTTCTTGCTACTATAGTTGCTTTTTTATCTGTGTAGCAAATCTCCCCATTTTCTCTGGGGCTTGAGTCCTGGAAATGTATGGCCTTGATCTCTCTGTCTCCCTCTGGAGAGGCGTGGGGAAGCCGCCTGTCTGTCTGCTCCAGACACAGAGGCCTGGATCTGTGTTGGCAGAGGGGCCTCCGTGAAGTGAGATGGGTTTCGTGGAGATAAATAAGGATTCTGTACGGTTTCCTGAGACAGAAGTTTGACCAGGAGCACAGGTTTTTCCTGGCTGTCATCTTCCCCACCAGCGTAGCATAGTCCTGAAGTGAGAGGGTCGGTTTGGATGTGAAGCCGTGGCTCTCCCTGGCCCCGTTGCTGTCTCTCTCTCTGCCGGGCCCTCAGCCCCTGGAGGTGCTGGATTGGCTACACGCCTTGGGCTTCGCAACTGGGTTCGGCAGTGGCGCCAGGGCCGCCAGGGCCGTGAGATCAGAGGGAGAGATGGGTGGGGCCCTGTTGGCCTCTGCTTCCAGCCATGTGCTCAGGACAGCACCAGCCCTGAGAGACAAGGGGTCCCTTCCTGGTGGACAGGGCAGTAGGTGACCTGCGAGCATGGAAAACAGACAAGGGGAGGAACATCTTTTAGGGTGTTTACTCTTGCTGAGGTTCTGTTAGTAGGAGTAGGAGCTACTAAGGGGAAATGAGAGAACAGTCTATTCTAAATACACTGGGTCATGGAGGTTTTTTGAACCCTCTGTACTGAAGTGACGACACAGTGCGTTAATCCAGGTGACAGAACCCGTTTTACTGGTGCTGATGACTTACTCCTGTTCCCCGTCAGGTGGACAGTCCTTGCCTCCTGGGTCACGTCGGAGGGTCTTGAGGGAGTCTGTCGCGTAGGAGGGTCTTCCATCTACTCCCCGTTACCGCAGGGGGAAGACCCTGGGCAGGAGAGAGTGGTGAACATCCCCAGGGGCCCCTTTATGTATGGTCCCTTCTAACCCTTACAGGCAACACTGAGGGACGTATTGCTGTCCCCAGTTTGCAGTTGAGAAACTGTGGCTTTGGTAAAGAGCCTTGTGCAGTCACGTGGTTGGTAGTACTGGAATTCAGATGCACGGGTTTCCGTTGCAGATCCCGTGCTTTTTGCCCCTAGAATCCTGGTGATGAGATTCCAGCTTGACTGAGAGCATCCTGATTTCTTTGACAGAAATCTGTGTGCTGGCGGAAATGTCGTGGGCGTCCGCGGCCTAGCCCGTTGTCGCTGAGGAGAGGGCTGAAGGTCTTTGTTAGTCGTGGTGCCCTGGCTGGTGATGGAGCAGCTCAGAGTAGTGCCTGGGGACTTGGACTCTGTGCTGGGGTCTTATTCTCAGCCTGGTGCCCTTTTTCTCCATGTGTGTTTCTCCTGGGTTGAGGGTGGCCTGAGGGCTTCTCTACCTCCTCTGTCTTCTCCGCACAGCACCCCCCTCCGACCCCCATTCCCACTCACGGCCGCACCCTGCATCCCAGGCCTGGACTCTGGGCATCACTGTGAACGGGGCGGGATCAGAAACTTCCAGCAGCGTGGCCGCCTTCATTCTCTGCCCCTCCTGCTGACCTTCGCCCTCTGGGGGCCTCACTCCTACCATGTCCCGCAGGGCGGTGCTTGCTCCCGGGCGGCAGCCTCTCCCGGGACTTCTCTCCCGCCCGGGGGGTGACTGGTCATCTCTCGCCCACACCCCAGGCCCTCCAGCGTGTCCTGCTGCCACGCATCTGGCCCGGGCTCCTGCCATCCCCTTTCTCCACTCAGCACCTCTCTCCACTCAGCGTCTCTCTCTTTTGAGAGACGGAGAAAATAATGAAGCTGTGTGTGGTACCCGTTCACATTTCTGGTTTCTTGGTGAGAAGCTGGAACGAGAGAAAAGGTGATGCAGGTGTTTGAGAGGTTTCCGCGCCTCAGCCGTCTTTCACTCACCTTTGCATCTCGCGCCCCCTAAACCGTCTCTCCAGTTTTCCTTTCAGACGCCGGCCCCTCGCTCCAAGCACAGGGTCTCGGCTTTGCTTTGTGGAGATGTTTGGTCTGTCGGGCACGATTGGGTCCTGCACGTCCAAGGTCCCTCTGTCTGCTCTCATCCCGCCATTCGTCCATCTGGACCCCGACGACAGGTCCTTTATTTGTTAAAGCCAGTCTTCATCTGACCCGTTGACTCACCCCCACCCCCATCCTCTGGGCTTTGCTTCATCGTCTAGTCCCGTCTTCAGACCTGCGGCCTCCACCCCCAACTGGCCAACTGGCTCTTTCCTCTCCACCCCTGGAGTCCAGTCCCCTAAACTCGCTGAAACTCCTGAGGTGAGAGGCCGTTGCTCAGCGTGGAAGGTGCAGGGACTCGGGGACGTGCCCTTGGCCTCCGCTTCCCGATCCCGGGCCCTCCTGGCCGGTCCTCGCTGGGCTCCTCGTGGGTCTGGCTGCCCTGGGCGCAGGTGCCCCAGGTTCGGTCCTCGCCCCCGGCTGTGCCTGGGAAAGCTCACGCCCGCTCGTATTGAGCATGTTTCCTGTGTCCACAGCTCCCTAGACACAGTCGTCGCCCCCATGCGCTCTGCAGGGGCAGCTGTGTCACGTGGCATCTGAAGCCCTTTGTGCCCCGAGCTTGGGGCCTCTCCCACCCCCAACCTACCCCCATCAGACCTTGGACTCTGGTCACCCCAGACCCCGGTGGTTCCTCGCCTGCACGTGCAGCTTCCTTCCCGCTACGAGGCTCCTGCTTTTGCTGCTGGGACCCCCGACGCGGGTCGCCCCGCTCCCCCTCCTGCTAGAACAGTCCCCGAAGTTCTGCCGAAAGGAAGCTCTCTTCGTCCTGGCCTCGCACCCACCCACTTGGCCGTCTGTCCCTCGACTGAGGATGTCCGTGTGGGAAAAACGCTCTGTAGCATCGAGGGGCCTTGACACAGCCTTCGGCTGCAGGGCCCCTGAACTTGGGGTCAGCTCGTCCTTGAACCCCGAGAATGGTCTCGGTCCCTCCTATCCCCTTTCAGCCTTGGCTTCCTTCGCACTGGATCTTCTTGAGTTTCTTTCCCCCCTTACCTCTGTTTCCTCATCTTTTTACTGTGAAAATTTCATAGTTGAAAATTCCTGCAGGAAATTGAAGGAATGATGCTTGGAACACCTGTCTGCCCATCCATGCTGCCGTACGAGGTCTGCTTTCGTGTGGATTTGTGGGGTTTTGTTTTGCCAGACCGTTTAAAAGCAAGATCAGCCTGCCTGTCCGAAGAGTGAAGACAGTTACCACTTTTCTGTTGATGTAAATTGGTTTATCTCTAAAGTTTCTTTCAATTCTAAAGGTTCGATTGTGAGAATCCTTTCTAATCTCTCCGGAGGTACACCAGCATTTCCTACCTGAGCCACTGTATGAAGGGTCTTCACACCCATCTCGTCTCCTTACCGCGCACCTTGCAGATGGGGACTGAGGCTCGGCGGGGGGAGAGCCTGTCGCCTGCAGGAGCCCCCCCCCCAGCCCTCACCCCAGTTGGTGCAGGTGCTTTCAGGACGGGTCCCGCCGTGGCCTCTGAGCACAGTGCTGCCTTCTCTGCGCCCTTGTCTCCAGGAGCTGGGTGTGGGCCGAGCCCTGCCTCATCGCAGCTGCCAAGGAGGAGTATGACGGGATCATAGAAGAGTTCTTGGCAACGGGAGAGAAGCTTTTCGGACCCTACGTTTGGGGAAGGTGTGGTATCACGTGGACTCTCATGTCTCTGTTGTTACAGTGAGCCGGTCCTCCTCCCCCCCCCC